GAAAGGCGCCAAAACTACTCAGAGAGACCCTGTCTGGAAAAGAAAAAGAAAGAAAAGAAAAGAAAAGAAATTGAACAAAGAAGTACTTGAATCAGGATTCCAGATCCTCCCAATTCCAGGGCCCAGTGCAGAACTCACAGCAGCCAATATGGTTTCATATGTGTCCATCAGGAAGACACGGAGGATGACCAGAAACCATGATTTGCCCAGAGACTTTCTGGCTACTCCTGTTATCTTAGCTTAGTTACTAACATCTCGTATTCTCAGAAGTGCTCTGACTTGGGTAGCAACCCATGTGGTCACCTGAGCTGTGTGGCAAGCCCGTGGCCTGCTTTTCCACAACTGCTTTGCTCGGGTTCTGAACTGGTTTTGTGATCTCATCTGTTCTGTGTGTGTGTGTTGACAGCTCTATGACCTGATGACCATGGCTTTCAAATATCAAGTGCTGCTATGTCCACGCCCCAAGGATGTGCTGCTGGTCACTTTCAACCATTTAGACTCCATCAAGGGATTCATCCTGGACTCCCCCACCATCCTGCAGCAAGTGGACGAGACCTTCCGGCAGCTGATAGAAGTAAGCCTGTCACCAGCCCGTCATCTCACTGCCACTTCCCTGTTCTCAGCCAGCTGTAAGAACCGGCACTCTCCTAGAACATTCTAAAATCCCACAGCTGCCTATTTTGTAACTATGATGGGCAATTATCGTTTCATGCTGTCTGTTGTGGCCTTTGTAGAGGGAAAATAACAACAAAGAACTTCCCTCTTGTCTGAAAGGGTTTTGGAAGTACACGTCTGCTAAATTGTGGGGAAAGGCCTTTGGCATGGCTGTTGTTCAAATCTTAGATGGTCTTTTAATTAAAAAAAAAAAAAAAAAAAAAAAAACAAACAAACCCTGAGCCAGATATTGGGGTGGATGCTGAAAGATCAGAGAGGCAGAGCAAGCCACAGCCAACCTCACCTCACCAACTCCTCAGCCAATCCTGTTTCCATGAATCCTCAGACTGAAAGCCTCTGAGTCCTCACCCGAAAGGGTCTCAGCTGAACTGCTTTAGTTCCTGTTTCCTCATGCCTTATATACCTTTCTCCACCCTGCTGTCACTTCCTGGGATTAAAGGCGTGTGTGCTTCCTAGTACTGGGATTAAAGGTGTGTGCCACCACTGCCTGGCTTTGTGTGCCACCTCTGTCTGGCCTCAATATCTAATCTAGTGGCTGGCTCTGTCCTCTGACCCTCAGGCAAGTTTATTAGGGTGCACAGTATATCTCCACACGTGGCAGGATCTGTTCTACTTGGGAGGGTGGGTGTTGACACTCCTGTCCCCCCCCCCCTTGCCTCGGCAGATCTATGGGAGTCTCTCTGCTGGGGAGTTCCAGCTGATCCGGCAGACACTGCTCATCTTCTTCCAAGACCTGCACATCCGAGTAAGTGCCTGGAACCCCTGTGGGTGGCTGCTCCCCTGGCCACAAGCCAGTCATCCAGAAAGACCAGGAGCAGGATTTTGCTCGCCTAAGTGATGCCCATTACGCTTTGAATCTGCGACTATAAGCATTCTTGTGATAGATTTCAGCCATTTTTTCCCCACCTCCATTGAACTTCTTTGAAATGTGGGTTTATCCTCTGCTTCTACAGAAGAACTGTGCTGGCCAGGTGCCAGTCTGGCCTCAAGGCTTTTCTCCAGCTTCCCATCTTGAGTGTCCCTGCTTCAGACACTGTCGCATGGCTGCCCTCCTGCTCCCCTTCCCTGGGTCTTCCTCTCCCTCTCCCTCCACCTATCTCCAAGCCTCCCTCCCCCTGCCGTCCACCCACTTGCTGAAATCCATCATGATCAGGCCTACTGGACCCATAATTTCATGTCTGCAACTAAACTATTGCCCAAAAGCCAAGCGTGCCTGATTCTCTGGCTCCTGGTGAGGACGCTTTCTTTCCACCACTCACTTGGCTCAGAAACAACATCACTATGATTTTCCATCCTTGATCTGTCCTGTTGCTTCTGAAGTGCAGAGGTCTTGCCCTTCTATGGCTCTGCCCTTCTCTCCAGGCTGCTGACACTTTGGCTTGGGTTCACATCCTTTTTTTTTTTTTTTTTTACAGTTTCTGGGACCATGACCAAGTCTCCATGTGTGCCAAGCAAGCTCCCTGCCACTGAGCTGAGTCCTTAGCCCGCATTCATTTCTTCCTGGCTGTTGTCTCCTAAATATCCCCCTCTCATTGTGCCATGCCTACTCCAAACAGTTCTGTACCCTAACTTTCAAACACGCACGTCTAAACTTGGGGGGGGGGGACGTGACTCTGCCAGATGGGGCTTGTTCCTTCCTAAAGTTGAGCCAACCGAGGGGGAAAGATGGCACGCGATAGCAAACCCCTGGTGTTAGACAGTATCATGCACACTGAGCCCTTGACCCTGAGCCAATCACTGCTCTTGAATCCCAGCTTCTTTACCTGAAAGTGGAAATGACAGTGTGTCATTTGGTGTTCGCTGGAAGAACCCTAAGGAACATACATAATGGACATGTGGGTGCTTACATGTGAATGGTATAGAACACTTCTCCAAAGGATATGCAAGAAACTAGGTGGTGGTGGTGCATGCCTTTAATCGCAGCACTGGGAGGCAGAGCCAGGCGGATCTCTGTGAGTTCGAGGCCAGCCTGGATTACAGCGTGAGTTCCAGGAAAGGCGCAAAGCTACACAGAGAAACCCTGTCTTGAAAAACCAAAAAAAAAAAAAAAAAAAAAAAAAAAAAAGGGTATGCGAGAAACTGGTCACAGTCCTGCCTCCTGGAGTGAGGAGCTGTGGAGGACAAGCAGAACAGAGGGACACAGCCCCTTCTGCACCTTTGGGACCTCATACTTAGGCACACATGTAAGCCAGAATCAAGAAGAGGACTAGAGGATGGTTCATGCCTGAATGTGTTTCTCTTCCAGGGGAGGGATGATAAATAGATTTCAGCTCTAATGCCAATTTTTATTTTTAACCCTCATGAATAATTTCATTGTATTAGCTATGGATGAAGCAAACACAACATGAATATAAACTAAAGATCTCTAATGTTTGTGGGTAAAAATATAAAAATATGAAAGTACAAGCAAGCTTAAGCTTTGCAGCAGATTTAACAGCAATTTGAACAGACTGAAAATTCCACTTGGTAGTGTTACTAGGACCATGCATATTTAAGCATATTTTAAGGATTGCAGTAATATAAACAGCCATATTGATTTCTCAGTTGTGAGGAGATAAAATTCATTGTAATGAAAAGACATGCCTAATAATAATTCTACAGTGAACTCATTAAAATGTATTAAGCCACTAAATATATTGGGCTTTAATTGCTAAATGGGTAAAGAAGGAAGCATCAAAATCACATCCAGTCATGGCGGCATGTGCCTGTAATCCTCCACTGGGGAGGTAAAGGCAAGAGGAACAGGAGTTCAAGGTCATCCTTAGCTATGTATCTAGCCCTGGAGGGGGGTTGATTTGGAGTGGGGATGAATCACACAGCTTGGCAATCCTCTGCCAATGATCTGAACATCTGGGCTGGCTTCCCATGTCTGGTCTTTAATGGTGTTTCTATTCCGCTGCAACTTGTGATTGCCTATACAAAATTTCTGTTTTCAAAATAGTCTTGATAGATTTTAAATTTGTTAGCAAAACCAACTAAATCAAGAACACACAGTTCTGCACCAGGAACTCTTGCTTTTTTAACCGAAGCAAATACAAAACTGCATGTTCCATACCAAGCTTTCTCTATCATGAGGCATCGTGAATACGGTCAAGGTCCTGACCTGTGCACAGGGACCTTGACGGAGACTGCACTAGGACCAGTGCCATTTAGGCTCCTCAGGAGTTAGTTACAACCGTCTCAGCCCCACAATCCTCTTCAACCCTCTAGAGACGCTCCAGAGCTGCTCCGGACCCTCCCCCTGACCTATGACCCCACATCCTTGCACTCTTCCATCATGGCTCTCCTGCTCTTCCCATCATCTGCATTATTGGAAGCATCATTCCATCTCAGCTTTCCATGAATGTTCCCTACACTTCCACTTCGTTACTCTTCTTGGGAAAGACTTCTACCCAGGAACATAGTCTAGCAAATGTCTATTGACTCCCTCGTGAGTGTCTGAGGTACCTAAATGAACAAGACCAAGCTCCTGTTGAAGAGGATCTTAATAGGAAGCCCCAAGAACAAATACATCCTGTTCCTAACTGAGACTTTTAGGAAAGTGGTCATGAGGAGGATTATGAAGGGCAGGAGGATGGATTAGGTCAGCACTATCTAATAAAACCCCTGTATGGTGAGAATGTTTAGACCTGTGCTGGGATAGAAGAGTTAAGAGAGAAGACACAGAGGAGAGTGGGGTCAGCTCTCCCTAAGAGGATCAAGAAAGTCTTCTGAGGGCTGGAGAGATGGCTCAGCAGTTAATAACGCTGGCTGTTCCTTCAGAGGACCCCGGGTTGATTTCCAGCAACCATAGGGTGGTTCACAGCTGTCTATAACACCAATTCAGGGCATCCTGTGCCCTCTGTTGGCCCCCTGAGACACTGCACTAACAGTGTAGAGACATACACTCAGATAAGACATAAAAATACACTTACAGCAAAAAAACCCTGTCTCAGAGAAACATGCATCCTCACCACACACTGGCCACTGAGCTATGCTCCAGCTCTTGGGTAAAAAAAAAAAAAAGAATTGTTTTATTTTGTTTAGTTTTTCAAGACAGGGTTTCTCTGTGTATCCCTGGCTGTCCTGGAACTCAATCTGTAGACCAGGCTGGCTTCGAACTTAAAGATCTGCCTGCCTCTATCTCCTAAGTGCTGGGATTAAATAAGTGTGCCACCACAACTTGCCAATCTGTAATCATTTTAGTTTTTGATGTTGTTGTTGTTTTAGTAATTTTTATTTTATTTTTAGAGATATAATTATACTATTTCCCCCTTTCCTTCCTCTAAACCATTCCATTTCCCCCACATTGCTCTCTTTCCAATTCATGGTCTCTTTTTCACTAATTCTTGTTACACATATATATGGTTAAGTATAGGATTATAGTATTACAAAATATACCTCGCTCAGTCTGGATAATGATGCTTGGGTGTATGTTTTCAGGGCTGACCCTTTGGTGGTAGATCACCAATTGGCATGCTCTTCCCTGAGGAAGTCTTATTTCTCCTGTAGTTCTTTGTGTAGGGTTGAGGTCTCACGGGGTCCGTGTTGCACCCCACCCCCAGTCCACTCTAGCATGTCCATTATCTTTATCCTCATTCAGCCCCTGCTGTGTACTTCCAGGACTTGGTACTCCCAAGCCTGGCCTCCTTTCTGAAGGCAGGGTTACAGTCAGGGTAGCAAGCAGTCTCCAGAATCTGGCCACCTGGACACGTGGAAAATGAGGTAGAACTCTGATCCTGAAGATGGTTAGCATCAGGAAGTTCAGCAACTCTGGAGGTGATAGCTTTAAGATGCCTCTCCCTCTCCCTCCAGCCCTTGGCCTGGACTTCCCTGGAGTTACTGAAGATGTGTGACTCCTACTTGAAGCTCTTTTCAGAGGTTCCTGCCCAGCAGCCAGTTTCAGTTAGGTGGTCAGATCTGTTGATAACTCATACAGCTCTTAGGAAACCCAAAGCCAGCACCATAAGAAAATGTCAGGAAAAAAAAATGGGTGTTTTGCCTTTATGTGTGTCTGTGTATCACATGCATGCCTAGTGCCTGAGGCCAGAAGAGGGAATAGAATCCTCTGGAACTGACAGACAGCTGTGAGCCACCATGTGGTTATGGGTACTAGGAATCGAACTGGGGTTCTCTGAAAGAGCAGCCAGTATTCTTAACAGCTGAGCCATCTCTACAGCCCCTAATGCTGTTTTAAAAACAAGCTTTCAAGCATGATGTGGTAGCACATGCCTATAATCCCAGCACTTGGAAGGTAGAGGCAGGAGTTCTAGGCTAGCCTCAGCTACATGTTGAATGCAAGACCATCCTTGAAGGGCTACATGAGACCCTGTCTTAAACAAAAAGATCTAGGAGTGATAGTGTAGGCCTTTAATCCCAGCCACTTGGGAGGCAGAGACAGGGGGATTTCTGTGAGTTCAAGACCAGCCTGGTACATAGGGAGCTCCAGGACAGCCAGGGCTACCTAGAGATATCATCTTAAAATAAAATAAAATAAAATAAAAATAAAACTCAGGCTGGGCATTGTAGGCAGAGTTACATGGCAGAAGGTAGATAAGAAATATGGGTTAATTTAAAATGTAAGAGTTAGGGGCTGGAGAGATGGCTCAGAGGTTAAGAGCACTGGCTGCTCTTCCAGAGGTCCTGAGTTCAATTCCCAGCACCCACATGGTGGCACACAACCATCCTGTAATGATGTCTGGTGCCCTCTTCTGGCATGCAGACAGAACACTGTATACATAATAAATCTTTTTTAAAAATGTAAGATTTAGCTAGTAACAAGCCTGAGCTATGGGCCAAGCATTTATAATTAAGATTTATTTATTAATTATGTATATATATATATACATACACATATGTATATGTGTATATATATGTATGTGTATATATGTATATGTATGTATACACACACACACACACACACACACACACACACACACACACATATATATATAGTGTTCTTTCTGCATGTATGCCTGCAGGCCAGAAGAGGGCACCAGATCTCTACAGATAGTTGTGAGCTGGGAATTGAACTCAGGACCTCTGGAAGAACAGCCAGTGCTTTTAACCACTGAGCCATATCTCCAGCTGCATTTATAATTAAAATTAAGTCTCTGAGCATTTATTGGGAAGCCAGTGGTCCAATGAAAAGTTCCACCTACAGGGCATGATGACAAATACCTTTAATTCCAGCACAGAGTGAGTTCCAGGACAGCCAGGGCTACACAGAAAAAATACCTGTTAGAAAAGAAAAAACAAAAAAAACAAAAAACAAACAATAACAAAAAAGACACAAGACAAATGTTTGTGGGTATGTACACACATTTGTGTTTATGTTTTGTGTGCATATGTGTATGTTCATGTGTATGCAAGTGCATTTGTGTATATATGTGCAGTTAGAGGACAGAAATGGATATGTGGTATTGTTCCTCAGGAGACATCCAGCTTGTTTTCTGTTATTGATTCTTTTGCTTGTTTGTTTGTTTGGTTGTTTGGTTGGTTGGTTGGGAGTTTTTGTTTGTTTGTTTCTGTTTTTGAGACAGGGTCTCACTGTACAATTCTAGCTAGCCTGGAACTTCCTATGTAGAGCAGAATGGCCTTGAATTCACAGAGACCCACCTGCCTCTGCCTCCTGAATACCTTGCCCAGCGCTCCACCTTGTTTTCTGAGATAGGGATTCCTACTGGGGCCTGGGGCTTGCTCATTAGACTAGGCTGACTCTCTAGCAAGCCCCGGGAACCTGCCTGTCTTCATCTTGGGTTATAGGCATGGCAGATTTAGGCCATTGGTCAGCATCCATTTGTCCCGAGCATCCGTCCTGGGATGGACGGCGCCCTCTAGCAGCAGCTGCAGGTGGGACACTGAGCACTTTTCCTGTGGTAAAACTAACCTCACCTGGCTTTCCCTGGGTTCTGGGGAAACTTGGGTCTTCATGCTTGCACAGCAGGCAGTTCACCTACTGAGCTCGCGCTCTCTCTGTCTGCCCTCCACCCCAAGACAGATTTTCACTAGGCTCCTAAGGAGAGGGGAGGCCAGGCGGTGATGGCGCGCACACCTTTAATCCCAGCACTCGGGAGGCAGAGGCAGGCTATGAGTTTATGGCCAGCCTGGTCTACAAAGCAAGTTCCAGGACAGCCAGGGGTGTTACACAGAGAAACCCTGTCTCAAAAAACAAACAAAAAAAGAGATGGCAAAAGATACTGGCTCAGTAGCTTTCTGAGGATATGGCTGCCAGGCCTGGGAAGGAAGGTGTCGGCACCTGCATATGGGAAACGCAGGAGTCAAAAATGTGCCTGCAGCTGGACCTGCTCTGGCAGACAGCAGAGAGCCAAGGATTTGAAGGAAGGTACATGGTTGCCGAGGAGTCCAGAAGAATGTCTTTATCAGTAGGATGGGGAGCAGGCTCAAAACAGGTACGGAGGGCAGGAGATGCTGGTCAGCAGGGAGGAACAGAAGGTAGGGTAGAGAGGAAGGCCAGGGACAGGATGTTACGCTGGCATGGCTTGACCCCCAAGTAGATATAGGAAGGTGACTGCAGGTGGCTCAGACTGCTAGCCCGGTGGCCTGGTAGTGGTGCTCACTGAGATTGGAAATTCTAAAGGGTGAGGGAGGCTGGGAAAAGCAACGGTGGGCATTTTTCTGAGTAGGGTGAGTTGGAGAAGCATTCCATGGGCCCAGCATACTCCTCTCTGCTAAACTCATATGCCTTCATCACAGAATCTGAAAGTGAAGCATTCCTTAAAGGTCATTCACCCACCTCTGACCAAGCCAGTTTACCCATTCTCCTCAGAACATGACTTGTGCCTGCTCATCTCCACTTCTGGAGCATCACACACAACGCTCGTTTCCTCCCGCCCCCGGCATCCCCAGCCTGTGACTGTTCTGTTCAGTGAACTGCTGTGCTCAAGTATACTATGTGGAAGGCCTGCCTTTCTAGTCTGTCTTAGTCACTTTTCTGTTACTACGGTGGAACACCACGACCAAGGCAAAAAGAAAGCATTGAAACGGACCTAAGGCTTCAGGGGGCTAAAGTCTATGCTGGCAGATGCAGGGGCCGCTGAGAGCTCACATCTTGATCCATAAGCACAAGGCAGAGTGAGCGAGCTCTGAGAATCACACAGGTCTCTTGAAACATCAAAGCCCGCCCCCAGTGACACAGCCCCACCAACACGGCCACATGTCCTCTAACAAGGCCACACCTCCTGATCCTTCCCAAACAGTTCCAACAGCCAGGGACCAAGTGTTCAAGAACACGAGCCTAGGCACGTTCTCCTTCAGACCACCACATGGTGGTTTACATGTATGCTTGTGGTGTGGGTCCAAATGAGCCTTTTACTGTCTTTCTTTCTAGCTCGAGAGTGTGGACCCAGGGCCTCAGCATGCTCAGCAAGTGCTCTAACCTAAGCTACAGCCCAGTCCTCCAAGCAGACTAATATAAAGAGACTTAGCTACCGTTTATTGAGCATATACTATGTGTGTATAGGTTCTGCCTGCTCCCCGTCCTTGATGCCAGGGCCTTACACATGCTAAGCCAGGGTTCTACTACAGACTCATGTTCCCAGATCCTGTTTTTGTCAATTTTCCTCATCTTTAAAATACGAAAACATTTGAAGGGTTTAGGATCGAGCTCAGAAGCCATCCTATTGTATGGAGCTGGAGAAGTGAGTGATTCAGCAGTTAGGAGCACCTATTTTGGGTGGCTCATAACCACTTACAACTCCAGCTCCAAGGGACCCCTGGCCTTCTTCTGGCCTCCACAGGCACCAACATGTGTCTGCACACATACACTTATGCACACATATACCTAAATGAGTGTGTGTGTGTGTGTGTGTATGTGTGTGTGTGTGTGTGTATACATACATACACACACACACACACACACACACACACAAAGTCATTCTGTGGGTGAAGCCACTCTAAACCTCCATGTCCGTTATGGTATGCCCCTCCCTTCACGTTACAAGCTGGCTGGGTAGCACTCACAAACCACTGTTCATCCTCAGAACATTTGTGTCCATGAAAACATACTAGAAAAATGACTCCAAATATATATTTTTTTTTCCAGGTATCCACATTTCTAAAGGACAAAGTTCAAAATTCTAACGGTCGCTTTGTGTTGCCAGTGTCTGGGCCTGTTCCCTGGGGAACTGAAGTTCCCGGAGTCATCAGGTAAACCCTCAGTGGTAACTGCTCAGCAGTGTTTGAGGTGCCAGGAACACAGAACGTGCCCACCCCACGACTACCCTCAGGCTCTGCTTACCTGTCTCTTCTTCAGTAAAGCTCAGCTCTACAGAGGTCAAGGACTGATCCAAGCTTTGCCACTTGAGCGGAGGATGCTTGGGGCACGCCACCCACTCCTGGTTCTATCTCCCGTCTCTTAAACGGTTGCTGTGAGAAGAAATGGCCACACTCTGAAGTGCTTACACAGCTCCTGTGCCTCTGCCCAACTGGCACAGTTGTCTTTATCTTTTGTTCGCTTGGTTTCAGGGGCCCTGGGAATAGAACCCACAGTCTTGCACACGCAAAGCAAGTGTGATGAGCTACACCTCCAATGTAGCTTCTTTATCGCCAGTGAGGGGTTAAATTCCTTTTTGTCCTGCTGTGTGCAGATGCTAAGGTGGCCTCCGAGACTGTCCAGGTTTAGAGAACTCCCATCATGTCATACTTTGTATTCCAGAATGTTCAATGAGGAAGGGGAAGAAGTAAAGAAGACAGAATTCAAGCATGGTGGAAGCTATGTGGCTGCGCACAAGGAGGGCTCCTTTGAGCTTTACGGAGACCGAGTCTTGAAGCTGGGAACTAACATGTAAGCAAACTCTCCCTCTGGAGGAACTTGAGTCCACAGAGGTCATGTCATGAAAAACAAACCGACTTCTGCTCTGAAAAATCCCCGCTGACTATACTGAGGATGTGGCTCAGCTAACAGGGCGCTTGCCCAGCACACACGAAACCCTGCCTTCCCTCCCCAGCACCACCTAAGCCAGCATAAGGGTCGGAGCCTATAATCCCAGCATTTGGGATATGGAGGCAAGAGGCTACAAGGTCGTCAAGGTCATCCTGGGCAACATGGTGAACATGAGGCCAGCCTAGAGTACATGAGAGCCTGTCTGGGGACAAAACCAAACCCAACCCATTAATCACTGGAGTCATTTCCCCCAGATATAATGCATGCAGAGCCCTGACATCTAAATGCTGAGGATCCCCAGGAACATCCCATAGGCAAAAGATCATTGTCTTAGGTAACCCTGGAGGAGGAGGAGAAGCCAATGTCTCTGCATGGAGGGCCACACAGCCTCCCTGTGATATTATCCGAGTCCCCCTGTCCTCAGTGCTATTCTTTTGTTTTGTTTTTCAAGACAGGGTTTCTCCATGTGGCCCTGGCTGGCCTGGAACTCACTCTGTAGCCCAGGCTGGCCTGGAACTCAGATCCGCCTGCCTGTGCCTCCCAAATGCTGGGGATTAAATGCTGTGCGCCACCACCACCCGGCCTCGGTGCTATTCTTTCGGGGCCTTTTCTTGGGGAAGAAGTAAAATGTGAGCAGTTCACCACTCAGGTGAGTTCTACACTCACAGCCCCTTTCTGGGTGCCATTTGACGCCTCGATAAAATAAACGACAACTATGCTTACCAGTTAGAGGGAAGTGGGTGAACCGGGCTGGGTAACAGCTCAGCTGGGTAACAGCGCCGCTTTCTGTTGCCACCAGGTACAGTGTGAATCGACCTGTGGAAACCCATATGTCTGCAACAGCGAAGAACTTAGCCTTAAGGTCACAGGTGAGTTTCTGCGCTTCCCATTCACCACCCCCCACCCCGCTTCTTTCTACATCCAGCAGTCTGCATGGGGAGGAGGTGGGAACTCAGAACAGGTCAGCTGGACCCTCACTGTTTGCACTTCCCCTTCCAGCCTTACAAGCACACAGGGTTTAACTGTAGCTTTGCTGGGAGCCTTCCAGTGATCTGATTATTAGGTAATTTGGGGATTGGTTCACCCCATCATTAAGTAGGAGCCACATACCAGGACTTGGCAAATAGCTTTGTACCAGAGCCATGAAGCCTGTGGCTGCTGAGTCCAACATGTGTGCAAATCCAGGGATCAAATCACCCCTCTTTAATGATTCTTAGGTTTTTTTTTTGTTTTGTTTTGTTTTTGTTTTTGTTTTGTTTTTTTGTTTTTGTTTTTTTTTTTCTTGGTTTTTTGAGACAGGTTTTCTCTGTGTAGCTTTGTGCCTTTCCTGGATATCGCTCTGTAGACCAGGCTGGCCTCGAACTCACAAAGATCTGCCTGGCTCTGCCTCCTGAGTGCTGGGATTATAGGCGTGCACCACCACCGCCCAGCTGATTCCTAGTTTTAAGGATGTGGTAACCACCTTCAAAATGAGGTTTTCGTTCCTCTGGGTTCTGTATCTACAAATTTTCACTAACTAGACACACACTAGTGACAGAACAAATCAGGGACTGTTCAGTTATTAAGTATTTATGGAACTGTGTCCATGGGTTGGGTACCGGGACAGAAGCTTGGCGTAGATGTGGTCCCATCCTGAAGAAGCTTTGGTTCCCTGGGAAGGACAGTGGTAGAAACAAACAGCCATGAGCTAGAAGGAGTGTGTTGACAGTCGATGCCAGAAGACTGCGCGCGCCATCCTTGAGGGGGAGCATGGGGACAAGGGACCACAAGGGCTTTCTGAGGAGATGGCATGGAAATAGGGCTCCAGAGTGGGCGAGACACCAAATAGCAGAAGAAGTGAAGTGGGTGTCAGTCAAGGCGTCAGGGTGAGCACAAACACAGACAGGAAAAAAGTGTCGTCTCGTTTGGAGAGACAGCTCTTCTCTCCATGGCCCCCTCATACCACAGCAGACGCAAGGACGTTGGGGTCTGATTAGGGAAGGTCTTCACTCCATTTCTTATTTATGCAGGAGGTAGGGGGCTTGCTTTCAAGAAAGACAGAAGTAAGAGAGTGTGTTTTCAGTAACTGGTGTATTGGGTTAGAGAGAGCCCCGAGCCAGGTAGGCAGGCGAAGGGCAGAGGGTGGAACGGATGGGAGGGAAGGGAATGGCCTGCAGTCTGCGTTCCTGGGTATGACCACCAGAGGGCAGTATGGGAGTTCCTCGGGGACGGCTGCTTGCCCTGCAGACTTGACCACTTGGCAGAGGGAACTGGACCGACTAAAGAGGAAGCTGGGCCCTTCTCCTCCCCTCCAAGGAGGAAGGTAGTCTGAGAAGTGCGGGTCCCTGGGGCATTCCACTCAGCTTCAAAGTTGAAAGTCTGTGGTCTGCTTCTTGCGTCCCTCTGCTGCTGACTGGATTATTATTATGGCTGTGCTTGCATTCTGCGCTGTAGTGGAGCCCAGAAATAATTTAAACTGTTACTGTTTTTGCCTTGTTGTATAATTCCTCCCTGCATCTCTGGGGTCTTGGCAGGAAATGTGATCACCCTGTGTGACTACAAATCACATAGTTGTTTCTACAGGAAAACATTGCTCCAAACCCTCTTGCCAAAGAAGAGCTGAATTTCTTGGCCAGGCTAATGGGAGGGATGGAGATCAAGAAAACGAGTGGCCCTGAACCAGGATTCCGGTTGAATCTGTTTATGACCGATGAAGAGGAGGAGTATGTTTTTAACCTGTTTCTTTCTTCCTTTCTTTCTTTCTTTCTTTCTTTCTTTCTTTCTTTCTTTCTTTCTTTCTTTCTTTCTTTTTTTGGGCAGGGTCTCATATAGCCCAGATGGCCTCACATTCACTTTGTAGCTAAGAATGGCCTTAAACTCCTGATCCTCCTACCTCTGCCTCCCAAGACTGGGATTGCAGGTGTGTGCCACCACACTCAGTTTGTACACAATCAAATCCAGGGCTCTTGTACATGCTGGATCTAGCACTCTGTTAACCAAGAGAGTTCTCCAGCCCTAAACCTGTTCTTTAAAGATATGTCATACATACAGGGGACTGGAGAGATGGCTCAGCAGTTAAGAGCACTGACTGCTCTTCCAGAGGTCCTGAGTTCAATTCCCAGCAACCATGTGGTGGCTCACAACCATATATAGTGGGATCTGATGCCCTCTTCTGGTGTGCAGATATACATGCAGAGCACTTATACATAAAATATAAATAAATAAAAGAATTTTTTTAAAAATTAAAATTAAAAAAAAGATATGTAATACATTCTTGTCCCCATGGCTTGAATGAAGTGTAAATACATATATAAACCCCTACGTGTAATAAGAACACAGAGAAGACAACTGCATACCAACACATAAACACAGATGTGAAAAGCAGAAGTGAAACACCAGCAACCCATGCTGACCTGATTACAGACTGCCCGGGGAGTAAGCAGATGGGGCCCCCAAGTCATTCCCCAGAAGCCCTGGTGTTGACTACACAGAGCGGCTAAGCAAGAAGATGACCAGGCTGGGCTGGAGAGGCGGCTCCACAGCTCAAGGCCTCAAGCCTGAGACCCGAGTTCCAGCCCTGGGACTTACATGCTGGAAGGAGACAACTGACACCTGACACTGACAACTGACACACTTCTCCATGCTTGCCGTGGCACGTGTGCACACACTCATGAACACACACAAATAGAGAGTGATAGCCTCCGAGCCTGTCCTGTCCTCAGGAGGCTCTGGCAGGAGAATGAAGAACAAGCCATCTTAGCTGCTAGGTCACAAATGCTGTAGTGAAGGCTGAGCCGCACTGCAAATCGAAGGGACTGGCGTGTGATCTGGCCTCAGAACTTGCTGAGCAGAGAGATGCAAACACACATGCCTTTCTGAAATGTAGGAATGTGAGGGGGAGGTGGAAAGGCAAGGGAAAACTGCAGAAAAGGAAAGAAAGAAAAGAGATTACCATGTTCTCATGAGGGGGTTCACCATGCAAGGAAGACGAAACCCTAACCTTGTACCCCTGGGCCTGTTTCTTCTTGCCTCATCCAGACATGCGGCACTGTCCAGGCCGGAGGAGTTATCCTATGATGTCATCAACATACAGGCTACACAGGTACGTATCCTCATCATCATCTTGTAAAAAAAATTGCTCTCCAAGGATGAAGATGGCTCAGTGGTTAAGAGCCCTGGCTGCTTTTGCAGAGGATGCTAATCCAATTCCCAGCACCCATATGGTAGCTCACAACCATCTGTTCCTCTGGTTCCAGGGGATCTGGTGCCCTCTTCTGGCCTCTGTGGGCAATAGGCACATACATGCATGAAGACAAAACACTCATTCACAGAAAATAAAAATAAAATAATCTTTAAAAAATTTGAGCTAGCTGGGCG